AACCGCCCGACGACAGGCTTCAAAAGTATATATTGGTTTTCTCAAAACGATTATTTTATTGCTGATAAACCATAGTCATTTCTGTAAACTATGTTGACATCAAGAGAATCATTTTTGTTTTCTCCACTGTATTTTTGAATCAAACGCTGTTCAAATACACTATAATAAGTAAAATTTCATTAGGAATTTAATAGATGAAGTCTGGAAGATCATCTGCCTAATTATCTTTCATTTTATTTTAAATTCAACAGGCTCAACAATGACAGTAACTATAATGAGTAGAAATAGTAACAAAAAAAAACAGACAAAAACATATTTCAATCATCACTGTTGAGATTCGTATTTGTTATGTATCTGTGTGATTTAATGGTTGAACTACATAAGTTGCTAAAGAACAATTTAAGTATTTGTTGATAAGTTTGTCCATTAGAATAAGCTTGCAGAGAATACCGAAACCTACGAAAAAGTTTTAAAGCAATTTGTTTGTGAGAGAAAATTTGACGTGGTTCAAAAATCATTTTCAACATATTGTTATAAGTCTGATCAGTTTTTTTTCTTACAAACTGTTTTTCGTAACACCAGACGCCTTCTATCGCATTTAACTCGCAATGGAATTTCGGATAAAAATGTATTTTAATGCCGTAGCTATTAGCTAGTTTTTCAAGACGTGATACCTAAAAAAACGGTCCAGTAGAGATACGAAACAAGCTTAGTCGAACTTACAATATTAAATGTTGGATGACTGGATAAAACATCTCTCAATTGTTCAAGTTTTAATTTTGGTGGTAACTTAATATTAAGCTCTTTACTTATTTCAATTAAACCTTTGCTTAAACCTTTGTTTGGTCCGGTTTTAAAATAGCAATCTATAACTTGCGTTACGCCTTGTTGATCAACATATTCTATTGTGTCAGTTGGACAACGAGTTCCGATGGACTTTCCAAAATCGAGTAAAGAATAAGATCTGGCGGTATGTATTCGAGCGTTGTCCACTATAATATCGATTTTATGATTTCTGAATTCTTTTTTAAATTGTAGTAGTTTGAACAAACGTTCGAACTGAGTAAGAATTGTAGAATTATCAAAATAAGAGTCGTAACCTGCATTAATATATCCAGTAACAGATTTTTCAATATAATTAATTAACATCATCATCAATATTAGTTAGCTCAGGATATTTCTTTAATGCTTGATCATATTCTATATTATCGAGTGTAAAGAAAGGACCTGATGGATGCATCACTAAGTAATCACTGAACATAACAGATCTTCCTCGTCCTTTGGAAAAAAATGGTGCAGAGTCGCCGAACAACCATCGTTTGGCAGAAACCTCGCCTGAACGAAAAGTACTTTCATCATGAACTAAACAGAGAGAAGAATGCATTTCAAAATATAAACTAGCGATCTAAAAACTATCGTACTCACATATCAATATAGACGGTGGATTTTGAGTAGAAGTCTTCCATAAAGGATTTTCATCATCAGACACAGTGTTATATTGATCCGTACGATCAAGAAAGTATTTAACGAAATTTTCACGTTCACAAACAACATCCACTCTCTCATGTCCTTCAAAGTATGGCCGCTTTGAGTTTGAATCAAAGCGTGCTCCCCATCGACGTAGATCTAAACGACATGATGGAACAGATCGAATTAGATTAGTGTTCTTATCTTTAGTTGTGTTTATTAGTTCGTAATAATTCTGATCAATAAAAATGGCTAAATCCAGTGCAGTAAAATCAGCCGATTTATTGGCACAACGTTCAATTGAATATGATTTTGCTGCTAATTCAATTTCGGGATATACATCATAAAATTCTGCAATACGTTTCCCACCACGGTTATCTCCACAAAACAAATCCAAATCTTCCGATATAAAAATTTCAACTCATTTGTAACATGTCTGACCTGATAATGCACCAATTTCCTTCAAAAAAATGTCACAATCACGCCATGCAATGTCAAAGTATCTTAACCCTTTGGGGACGGTTGGCCCCTTAAGGGGCCATGGCGATTCTCTAGCATCTCAAAACACGCAGGTTCCTATATGAGATTAGTTTTTGTGAAAGCATTTATCAGAGAGTTTTTTGGTATAATTTGGATTGTAATTAGGTTATTTTATTCAGATATCCAGTAATAGATTATAAGTTCTTTTAGAAAATAGAAACGTTGATTGATTTATGACGAAATATACAGGAAAAAAAACCCGTCCCCAAAGGGTTAATGTATCAGATGAATCTTCATTGATTTTCATTTCGTCTTCATCTGATTCCAAAGAACTTTCGGTCTCATGTTGAAGATCTTTATTAAGCAAACGTTTCATTGCAAGTTGAATATTGCGAGAATGTAAACTATGTTTGGACGGTTTGGCCATGTTGAAAGTTGAATATGTGAAAAAAACCAAATTAAACGTCGTAAGAATTTCCAGTTATCAATACCCTTGACTGCTGGCCCCTTGATCACGTAGGCTTCATGATAACAATTTAAGATCAATGATCTTGTATAAGGCTAAATATTTCTCACTCAGGAAAACGACACACCTCTATTCTATTAATTATAATTTAACGATAATGAAAAGAAGTATCTAGTCAATTTTTATTGTTTCCAATAATTGTTATGATAATAACAAGAACAATAAGGATCACCGAGAATGAACTTCACCGCAAGAGTAATGGTAATATTTTATCGGTGCCAAAAAGAGAAGAAAGTATGAAATATACTAGTGCAATAGGAATGGATAATCGACTGTTCGATTGAAGACGACAAACTATAGATAATCAGAAATGAAAACTGAGAAAAGCAGAGAGAGAAATAAGAAAAAGAAAGAAAGAAAAACGAATACAGGACGACGAACCAAATTTGAGAGAAAAGAAGAACATTGACCACGAGACAGTGATTGAGCACATTAGTAGTACAATAGTGTCACCTGTTAAGATTACTAAGACCAATCTGGCATTACACTCAATCTTTCAGTTCTCAAAAACATCATTGTTTTCATCTCTTTTCTTTATTTAATGATCCAAGACCAGTATATAATAAGCATTTCTTGTAAAAAAAATCGCAACGAACTTCTTTCATTCCTCTTCATCAATCTCTCCAAAAAGTGGATAAACTTTGAACAATGACAAT